CCTTAGAATAACCGGGAATTCGGGAGAGAGACTTCGCTTATATCCAATCTACAGTGTTAGAAAACGATGGAAATGATATTCATTGGAAAATGTAGATAATCCTCTACCCATCCATGCATAAAACTTCAGACACCTGACAATTATGTCTAATACATTGTTGTGTATTTACTTGTACTCATCTAAATTTCTTTGTCAATATACTATATATGTAAAACGACATTTGAAATACTATCCCGCATGTGTTACTTTTCAACGAAAAATCAAAATTTATTTCAAGGAGAAATAACGATTATTTCTAACTGTATAATTTTTCTTACAACATAAACCTTAGATTATTAAAACATTGGATCAGTAAACATGAGGGCAACCACTTCGCTCAATTACATTACTTTATTTTTTTCATATAACATTTTTTTTTAAAACAAAAAGGTGATGATAATAAATTCAATGAATATTTACACAATCATAGAAAAATTATATTAAACCTTTATATAAACATGAATATTCTAACTAAATTAAACATTAAACTTTTGGATGAGGTATGAAAGGGTGAATTGTGAAGAGTAATGATAAACGGAAAAATAAAATACTATATACACTGCGTGACATTGAAAATGGAACACCAAGAAATAGTGGCCAGAAAGTGATGAAACTCGGCAGACAGAGAGAGACAGGGACGAACAATAAGTGATCTTTATTTCAAAATGATAGTCATAATACAGAGCGAGAACGGCGTCGGCTTAGTAGCAAGTAGGACCACCGCGGACGGCGATGCACGCAGCAACACGTCTAGGTAGAGAGTCAATCAGAGTATGGATGGCGTCCTGAGGGATGGCTCTCCATTCCCTCTCAACCATTTGCCACAGTTCGTCTTCTGAACGCGGCTGTGGCAAGGCATGCAAACGGCGTCCAATGATGTCCCAGACGTGCTCGATTGGTGAGAGATCAGGAGAGTACGGTGGCCAGGGAAGCATCTGTACATCTTGCAGAGCTTGTTGGCTAATGCGAGCAGTGTGCGGTCGGGCGTTATCCTGCTGATAAAGGGCATTGGGTACCCCCTGAAGGTAGGGGAGTGTCACGGGTCGCAGCACATCATCAACGTATCGTTGGGCCGTCATAGTGCCCTGAATACGAAGTAAAGGTGACCTGGAATCATACGCGATTGCGCCCCAAACCATGATTCCACGTTGTCGCACGGTGGGGCGTTCCACAATTGCTGCCGGATTGGACCTTTCTCCACGTCGACGCCACACGCGTACACGGCGACTATCACTGGACAAGCAGAAACGCGACTCATCTGAGAACACGACCCTGTGCCATTCCGTCATCCACGTCGATCTAGCCCGGCACCATTCCAAACGTTGGCGCCTATTCGGTGGGGTCAATGGCAGTCTTCTTAGCGGACGGCATGAGTGCAAGCCATTAGCAACCAATCGACGGGAAATGGTTCTGGTCGAGATGGAACGATCTAGGGTGTCTTGCACATGTTGCAGGATGGCGGTACAAGTGGCTTGTGGGGCCGCCACTGCTTGTCGAAGGATACGCCGATCCACACGTGCTGACGTCACTCTGGTTGCACCGACATTCCTATAAATTGCCACATTTCCTTGTTCCAATCATCTTCTCCACAGTCGGTGCACCGTGGACGCACCAAGGTGTGTATCAGCTGCGATTTGACGTATGGACCAACCTGCCCTTTTCAGTCCGATCACCATGCCCCTCGTAAAAGCATCTGTCTGCTTGAAGTGCTTCCGTTTACGATGACCTGGCATTCTCTGTTATTACACGTGTCTTTTGACACAAGAACAAAATTTCTACAATGATTTTCCTTGAAGAAATAACGACACGAATACTGTCCTTTCTGCAAGTTCCTTCCCTTATATCTTACTCCATGTGCGCACGAGAGCTGCGCATTTTACATCATTTGCATAACTCGGTTAGGCGCGTCTACCCTGAAATTTGCATAATTTTCTGGCCACTATTTCTTGGTGTTCCATTTTCAATGTCACGCAGTGTATGTCAATATACTAACTATTGTTCTTTAAGAAATACTTACAATTAAAAATTCAGTAGACAAGTAGGTAACACCCTCGATTCCCGACAGCCATGAACCGGGATTGTATCCCGCGTTAACATTTTGTTTAATATGTGAATAACCTTCATCTATTATTTATTGTTACAATTATCATAAACTAGGTTGCTCTTGTTGAGCGGTACCTAATAAAGTGATTTTGGAACAAGTTCTTTAAGGAACTGCTTGTTCTCGAATGCTTGTATATAAGTTTATGCCAAGCTCTTTCTTCTTTCCCTCTATTTGATACATTATAAATAACATTGCGCTGATTATAGTGTTACTATTACTGTTATTCCTGTATATACCCACTTCTACTAGGAGAATCTGTATTAGACAGAAAGGTCTTAATAAGAATTTTTTCCATTATAAAGGACTGCGGCGTATGATTATAAAACACTTAAAGTTGCACCGCATAAGTTTCTTTTCTGTGAAAAATCAATATTTATTTCAAAGAGAAATATTTACTATTTCTAACTTTTTTGGATGAAGTATGAATGAATGAAGAATTTTTTTGTTTAAAATATCCATTTTGAAAAGTGAAGATAAAGTTACTTCTGAGAGAACCAGGGAGGATTGGATGGTGGAGACAGTTGGATGTCTGCCGGATGTATCAGTGGGAGAACAACACTGAACTGGAAACTGCCAAATGATAATGAAGATTGAAGGGCTTTCTCCTTGTAAATAGATAAACCATATTCATTATTCAAGATGAAATTGTTAAAACCTTTAAAAACTACAAATTTTTCATACACTTAATTTCCTTTTTTATTAGAAAATACAAACTTACAGGTGATAATCGCTCTTCAACGGACTTAATTAAAACAATATTTGTAAGAATTATTTGTAAGAAATATTTGTAAAAACTTCTGATAAGAAAAAGTCCATGTTTTAATTAAGTCTTTTGAAACGCGATTATCGCTTGAAAAATAGCATTTCATAATTTAAAAAAAAGGAAACTCATTATGAGACATCTTTGCAGTTTTCAAAAGATAAAAATCATATGTAAATATGTGTGATTCACTCAGATGTTTGAATCCTGAGGCTGCCTGGCCGGCATTCATATTTCTGTGACACTTCGGCCAGTTTTATTTACTTCTCCTAAAGAAGACAAAAGATTTTTGTCGAAACGTTGAGAAAATAATAAAAAACTAACTGGCCGAAGTGTCTATTTTTCATATAAAAAATGTCTGAAGTCGTGTAAAAACTTGCTATCAGAGATTGTTATCACAGGTGGATATGGTGGGAATGGCTGCCAGAGTCGTCGTTATCTTTTCTACAAAGCCGTAATTAGAAGACTTCTGAGAATTTCTACTTTTTTTCTATCTCTCCTCTGGAATAAATAAAATAGTGTCCACTCATGGACAAAACTTAAGGAAGCTGTACCTTTCACCATGTATATCGGGATTCAGACAATAACTCTGAAAGATACACTCATGGACAAAACTTAAGGAAGCTGTACCTTTTAGCATGTATATCGGGACAATAACTCTGAAAGATACACTCATGGACAAAACTTAAGGAAGCTGTACCTTTCACCATGTATATCGGGACAATAACTCTGAAAGATACACTCATGGACAAAACTTAAGGAAGTTGTACCTTTCACCATGTATATCGGGACAATAACTCTGAAAGATACACTCATGGACAAAACTTAAGGAAGCTGTACCTTTCACCATGTATATCGGGACAATAACTCTGAAAGATACACTCATGGACAAAACTTAAGGAAGTTGTACCTTTCACCATGTATATCGGGACAATAACTCTGAAAGATACACTCATGGACAAAACTTAAGGAAGTTGTACCTTTCACCATGTATATCGGGACAATAACTCTGAAAGATACACTCATGGACAAAACTTAGGGAAGTTGTACCTTTCACCATGTATATCGGGACAATAACTCTGAAAGATATTACAGTGGTCTTTATTGAAGATACACGAAATAACAAAATGTAAACAAAATTGTTTCTTAAAAATAAAGAAGACATATCCTGACCAGGAGCACATGTGCTTTACAGATCGCCATCTGGTGGAACAGAAATCAACTAAACATTGATTGAGCCTGTTCCCTGATATTTGGCCAACCCAATTTCCTGATAAATCAAGAAAAGGGATATCAGGGAACAGGCTAAATCAATGTTTAGTTGGTTTCTGTTCCACTAGATGGCGCTCTGCCATCTTTAAAGCACATGTGCTACTGGTCAGGATATGCCTTTTTATTTTTAATATCAACACCTGACCTTTTTAATATTTTTTCCTATTATTTTTTCGTGTGTTAAAATTGTTCCTGTCTCCTAAAAAAAAAAGACGACAGGCGATATCAAAGACTTTCTACTTCCTTAAGTTTGGTTCATTAGTGTAAATCGGATTCAGGACCGGAGTTTGTGTTTCCTGTCTTATACCGAGAATTACCCCGTGGTTCGACACCACAGCCAATCTCCAACTCTGAAATTCCAATCGTCCTTAATGTCCCACGTTGTGCTGGGCGTCCTGTGTACAACGTGCAAATCAGAAATTTACATACAAATTTAACCCGCACAAAGGTTATATTTCTATGTATTTCTACTGTTCTCAAAGATTATGTCCCCATAAATAATTGAAAATAGCTTTTCCAGAGTTTAGTTTTAGTACTGACATAAAATGAAAACAATGCAATGCAATATTACTGCGGTATGTTGGCGAAACCGCTGGGAGGGTTCACCACTGATGAGCCAGGGGCCCTCCAATTATTTTACATTTGCAGTAAGAACAGTAGATACATTATTTTTAAAAGAAGCTAACGCGTCAAAGAATATATTAAAGTTTAGAAAAAAAAATTCCAAGCCGGGGCTTGAACCCATGATCTTTATCCCATCGCCATATAAACATATCTCCAATTTATAATAATAATAAAAATAATTTTCACATTTGAGATTAAAAAAAAAAAATTGCCATGTCGGGGTTCGAACCTGTGACCATCAGCGTCGTTAGAGCATACAAAAATTGTGAAATGTTCTTTTATAACAGAAATTATTTTTTAAAATTATAAAAATAACAATTAAAAAAAAAAGAGTTGGGTCCAACTATATCAGCGAGGCTCCCATCTGGACACTATTCACGGACGCGATCCCACTACCGCCCTGCGCGGGAGCTTTTGCCTGCTGCGTTTCCGCCCTGGGCCGGTCCACTCCTCCTTAGCTGACCTGGAGGCCCCGGGCTCCCCCGGGGTCGCCATATTGACGCTGGGCCTAGTGCGGACATCCGGTCAACATAGGGAACCAGAAGGGAGGACTCCTCGCCTCAAGCCGTCCACCAACCCCGGCCTCCAAGTAGCTGGATTACAGGAGCACGCCACGACTCCCAGCCGGCAGCATTTCTTAGAAGTTATATTTAAACTTACTGTAGTTACTTTTTCTCAATTTAACACTTTATTCAAGTTGGTTTTTATTTACACATATTAATATACTATATGGATATAGAATTAATCAATAAATAGCTATTTATTTTGCTTTCGATGATTTTTCTTGAATCGATTGTTGAGGTAACAACGGACACCTGCTGCCATCTAGTGAATAAATGTGAAACTATTTAAAAATATTCTCCTATATCCCCCCTTATTTTTACATAAATTTCATTGATATACATAATAGCTTCTGTTTATTTTAGTGTATTACAGAATATGTGTAAAATAACATGAATTTTTGTCATTTTTGAATATTTCAATTTTTAACATATTTTTATTGTGTATCGAATATATTTTTTAAAAAAAGTTTTGATTATGGAGATTTTTTATTTTTATTTTTTCAAAATAAAATGCAATATTGTTTTGATGTGATATTCTTGCATTAATACAAAGGTAAAGTACTGTACAACACGAGACACGGCCGTGAGTTGGCTGAGGACACTTGTCATTAATTCATTCTTAAAACATTTTAAAATAATATAAATAAATTAATCTTTTTATTTCTCGGCATTCTGGCACGGATCCCCGCAGACGCTCGGTTCACCTCCCAGCGACCTACCAACCTGGGTATATGTAGAAATAGATTAAAATATATTTCTCAAACCTCTCTCTAAACCAGCGGTTACAAACCTCCCACGTTCACCACATTGTTGTAGCGCTAATTGTTATAAACAGCCGACCCCATTGTTGTAACGTACATTGTTGTGAACAGCCGACCCCCAGGTTGTCTGACCGACCCCCAAACACCCCCCAGTTGACTGTGAGGGCCGGTCTACAACATCCGCACCGCGGTTTGTCAACTTGATCGAAGTGAGGAAGAAATTTGTGGAAATAATTTTCAATTTCCATTATTTCTATAGATCCACAGTATATATTCACTGGTAAAGTTTTCTACCAGAGTGATGTACAGTGTTCTGATGGATAATTAAAGGTGCTTCGTTTGGCACACATATAACGCACTCGTGGACAAAACTTAAGCAGTTTCATATTTTAAAAAGAAAGAAAAATTTTTTTTTTAATTAATTTTAAAAATATTTAATATACTTGTATATATTATTATTATAACTTATTATTTATGCTTATGAGGTGATACAGCAGCGTATTTACAATTAGAGAGGAGACAAAATTATAACTTATGTTAAAATTGTTGGTGCAAATTGGATACAATTTTTGTCTGTTTTGAATTAGAGGAAACCACATAACCGGGATGGAAAGGTGCCAGGTCGGATCTTGTCAAAAATATTCCTGGCGACAGTAGAGCAGATGGTAGAACGCTATCTACTGGGAAAAATGTCAAAAAATGTTGATTTTATTTCTCAGTATTTGTCAAATTTATAATATGATGCACTAGCGCGCCATCTGTTATCAAAATTCGAAACTATTTTAAAGGCGTAAGATTCTTTTTGATATTAAACAATTTCTACTACCCTTACTGCAATTACAGGCCCTCTCATTAATTTTTCCATAGCAGTAAGGGCAGTAGAAATTGTTTAATATCAAAAAGAATCTTAGGCCTTTAAAATAGTTTCGAATTTTGATTTGTCAAATTTATTAATCAAGAAAAACCAACCACTTAGCGTTTCAGCTGTTGGCCTTCATCAGTGACCTCCAAGGGAAGCCAAAACACTTCTTCACAATAAGTTGGTTAAACACTGAGAACATCCCGTGGTCTAATTGACTTGTTACATTGCGCGCCATCTGTTATGGGAATTCAAAACTATTATAGACGCCCTCTACAGGCCCTCCAATTAATTTTCCATTGCAGTAAGGGAAGTAGATGATTGTTTATTATTATTTTTTAAATTATACATTTATAAAATAGTTTCGAATTCTTATAATTGACTTGTATTTAAAATTAAAAGATTAAAATGTTTTGTAAAAAAATATATATTTTTAGTTTCAAAATGAGATCATAGATGGCAGCATAATATATATTTTTCTGTTTCAACTACTACCGATAAATAAGAAATTATTAATTAATGTTTTTAATATATAATTTAGTTTTATAGAATATTAAACAGTAATATTAATTAAATAATTAGTTATATGAAATATTTTGTTAATTACCCAATAATCATATTTTAGAAACGATGGAAAATGGCCGAATGGAAAGTTTTCGGTAGCTTTGCGCAGAGGCGATATCGTAGCCAGTGAGGAACTTCCGAGGCGCGATTATTGCTAGTTGAAAACTTTACCCAATACCCCGCCTTGACGACGTGCAATACCGTCGGCTAACGGCAATTTTTGGTGACCTCAGCCGAGGTTTATTTACAATTTAAAAAAAGACAAAACTTTTCCAATAAGCTAACATTGTAAACAACTTGCAGTTCCCTGATACGGTGATACTCTCTTTTCATAAATTAACTAGTTCATATTTAGTTCGTCTGGTTCTTTCTAGTCAAATGATGGTAGAACCACAATTTCATATCAAAAGTACAAAGCTATGTAACGTCATTAAAACACCTAGCTCATACTGATATTGTCTTTTTTTTTTTTTTTCAATATAAAAATTAATTCAATAAACATGATAATATATCTACAATGTTTTTCTTAGTTTTTTTTTCAAATAGAGCTAAAATTATTTTAAAGTAATTCCTGAACACAACTGACTATTGGTGATGGCTTCATCAACTAAGCCAGAATGACGAAAAGTGGAAAAATAAAACCCACCTTGAATATTAAACAAGCCAGAAAAGAACAAGATCCCTGAGGACACATGTCGGTAAGTGAACACATTTAAAAAAGAGTAGATTCAATGACACCCGTGAGGAATGTTTGCTGAAGATTTTAAAATCTGCACGACACAAGTATTTCTTGGACGTGGACGAGTGGGTAACACCCTCGATTCCTGACAGCCATGAACTGGGATTGAATCCCGCGTTAACATTTTGTTTAATATGTGAATAACCTTCACATATTATTCACTGTGTCAATTATCATGAACTAGGTTGCTCTTGCTGAGCGGTACCTATTAATGTGATTTGAACCGTATTTCTTGGAAACTTTGGCCACCCAGTCCACTACCTCCCCATAGACCCAGCTAATTGGTTTGGGGAGACTCGATGTGTCTGTTCCACCGAGTGACACTTGTAAACAAACTTTTAAATTACAAAAAGGTATAAGACGCTGCAATTTTTTTTCTATTAAATGTATAAAGAAGCTTTCGGGGAAGCCCTTCCTCAGCAAACTACAAAAAAGGCAATTTTTTTTTTTATAGTTTGCTGAGGAAGAGCTTGACCGAAAGCTTTTCTTTATACAATTAATAGAAGAAAATTGCGGCGTATTAAACCTTTTTGTAATTTGTCGAAATCCACAAACCTGTGATAATGGAATCTTTTAAATGGTTATTTTATAAAATCAGTTGGACCAATTGACCGAAAATCTTCGCATCTATCTCCGTTAAACTGGACATGTTGGTGCGCGCACGTGTTAGAATAGTAAGTTGGTGGCTTACCCCAATACTGAATGTACGGACACCATGGTAGGCTACTGTTTACTGTGTCTACACGTGTCGAACCCAGTTCGGTGTTGAATTAACAAGGTTCCAGAGTCCTGTTTGGTGACTTGCACTCAGTGGTGGGGTTGGACTAGTGCACATATCGGGAAACATGAAACAGATTACTCCGCTGGATCCGAACCCGGGTTTATTGAAGCATTTCGCTAACAGTCAATATGGCGTCGGCAGTTGCGGCGTTGGGACATCTTCGGATC